ATATTCCTATGTCACCTCTACCACCTGCACTAACTCTGCCCTATTGCAATGCCACCTGTACTTTCAGCCACGGCTCTAGTTTGAAACTACATAATCTTAAATGTATAATTTGTGTTTAAATTTTAAGTTAAAGCTGTGCGTTACTACTATGAATGAGAAGCCAGTATTACTTGGTATACTAAAGTAGCAATCAAAATAAATGCAACAAAAACAAAACCAAAAAAAAAAAAAAGTGTGATTACCTTTTAGCTTATGCTATATCTACATAAGTTCTGCCTGTAAGACTCTCTGTTAAGAGGAGAGACAAGTAAGGATCAGAGGTCTCAAAGGCACAGTGACGTCCAACTGAGACCCTCTGCTCATCACCATCACTCAGAGAGAAATGACGATGGAATGAATTAATGTCTACTGCGTGAGTCACACAGACACAGGGCCATCTCCACACCACTTAAAATCATTTTAACGCAAACAAAACAAGCAAAAATTGAGTGACTAGAAGGTAAGGAGGTGGGTCCAAGAGCTGAAGATGACGCTCCTTCTCTGTCTAGAACTTTGCCTAGAAGCAGCAGCTCAGAAAGGGCACAAGGCCAGTGGAGATTCACCTTGGCTGGGGTGGTTTTGGTTTTCCATTCGGTTTTGGTCGTAGGAATTCTGCCAATTAAGTTTGTGAACTTGTCGCTGTGCAATTACCTTGGCAGCGCTGAACAAACAACTTGGCAAGGGTTCATAACCTCGGTATGTCCGTGCTGTTCGGGTCAACTGTGTGGCTGTGTCTTGCTGAGTGGCATTCGTTATTGTTGAAAGATTTTGTGTGCCCTACGACAACAGCTCTGATGGCCACTCCAGGAAAAGAGTTCCAAAACGGCTTTGAAGAGTGGCCTAGGCGCTAGCATCGGTGCACAGCCTGCCAAGGGGAGCACTTTGGCAGCAACTATGGTGATAGTCTGCAATGAGGTACGCAGTGATTTTTCTAGGATGAGTTTGCAAACGTGTCAGACCTCATGTGCTGAGAAGATGGATTGTTGACAAAGAGAAGGAGAATTAAGGAAGCAAGTTCCTGGGATGGACAGGAGAGAAGGGGACCCAGGACAAAGGCACAGCCCTGCTTGTGGGGAAGGACACATCTCCTGAGGAAGAGCTGCAGTGACACTGTGACAAAGTGGGAGGATGGATGGAGATTGAGGGGTTTTGACAGAACATTTCTATTCCCTCCACAAAGTAGAAAATAAAGGCATCCTCTGAAAGTAAAAGGGGAAACGGTCCAGGAGACTGGGAAGGATTAGAATGGCCATAGAAGGGCCAGGGGCTGGAGCAGCCCAGGCCCCTGAAAAGATGAGGCACCAGGTCCTGAATCAGGCCTGGGACTCTCAACACAAAAACACAAACAAGGTGGACAGAAACTTGGCCCCAGAGTTGGGACCTGACAGAGCTGATACAGGCAAACCCGGGAGAAAGAACAGGTGTGAGTTTCTCTAAGGCCCTGCTGTGATCCTTCATTCCCCGCTTGCCCGAGGCAAACACACAAAGCATCCCGTTGCGTGTGGCCACACATACCTTCCTTAGCACGGGTCTAAGAAGGGAGGAGTGTTGAAAGAATGGCTCGGCTTCAACCAAAAAGCTATTATTAAAGTCCCATAATAAGCACACACAAAGGCAACCCATTTTGAAAGGGAAAAAGAGAGTTACAACATGCAATTAATCTAGAAAGAGCTAAAAAAAAAAATTGCTAAGAGGAGGCGAGACAACTTTGACACTGAAATAAAGGTTAAAAATGTGGGCTGTTCAAAACTAAGTTTAAAGGTTAATCACCAGTGCCTTACACATAATACAGGAGTTTTGTTAATGGAACAATATTCCATTAGGTTCGGTGTGTCAGCCCCACAAGGTGAGCACACCAGCCAGACTATAAATTAGTGAGACCGCTGCATGAAGCAGCTGTTTCAAAGATCTTCATGTCCACACAGAGAAAGCAATCTGCCTTTCAGCTGAAGTGCAACAATAAAACAAATAATGCGTCTCTAAAAGACTGTCAAGTCTGTTTGCTGTTTTTGTAAAGACAATTTCAATCAGGATTTTTAAAAAACCAAGTCTCCTGCCACCAAAGAAAAAAAGGGGAAAAAAACTCCTTCAGGTGCTTCTGCTAATTCATGTTCTGACTCATAACCTGTCCAGGGTGCAGGAACCCCGCTTTGTAAGCTGAGTGCAGGACCCCAGTGATAAGGGTCCAAAGTCAGAAGCCTGACACCAAACTTGGCCTTGGCTACTGACTAGTTTTTAAATGACTCTGGAGCTTTTTAAAAACTCTTTGTAAAATGGGCTCTCGGACTGTCCTCTCTGGTCTGGCCTTGCTGGCTCCACCTGCAGTGCGAGCTCCCGCCTCCCACCAGACACTCTCACCCTCGCAGTTGAAAGAGCCACAGTGAAACGTCAGTCAAGCGCTCCTAGCTGTTTCCACAACTTTCTAGCATTCAGAATGCCTCTCTGGAGAGGTGAAAACCAGTGTGGGGCCTGCGGGAGCATCGTGTACCACACGGAGGAGGCCCAGTGCGATGGCCGCAGCCTCCACTGCTCCTGCTTTCTGTGCATGGTTTGCAGGAAAAATTTAGACAGCCCAACAGTGGCAATTCACAATGAAGAGATCTACTGCAAATCTTGCTACAGAAAGAAATGTGGGCCGAAAGGCTATGGTTAGAGCCAGGGCCCCGACACGCTCAACATGGTTTGAAAAAAAAAAAAAAAACTTGGCTCGGTGCCTGTGGCTCAAGTGGCTAAGGCACCAGCCACATACACATAAGGTGGCAGGTTCAAATCCAGCCCGAGCCCACCAAACAACGATGCCTGCAACCAAAAAATAGCCAGGCGTTGTGGTGGGCGCCTGTGGTCTCAGCTACTTGGGAGGCAGAGGCAGAAGACTCGCTTGAGCCCAGGAGTTGGAGGTTGCTGTGAGCTGTGATGCCACAGCATTCTACCCAGGGGGACAGCTTGAGGCACTGTCTCAAAAAAAAACTCTTTGTAAAATAACAATTGTGAACTAAGTTTAAGGTGGAATCACTTTACCAACTGTGATGGGTTGAATTGTGTCTCCCTGACAAAAAAGACACGGGGAAGCCTCAACCCTCAGAATCTTAGACTGTGACCTTATTTGGAAACCGAGTTGTTGCAAATGTAACTAGTTAAGATGAGGTCATACTGGATTAACCCCAAATGACTGGTGTCCTTATAAGAAGGGGCAAGAGAGAGACACAGGCCAAGAAGACCCAAGCAGGGCAGTGCCTGTAACTCAAGGAGTAGGGTGCTGGCCCCATATGCCAAGGGTGGTGGGTTCAAACCCAGCCCCGGCCAAAAACTGCAAAAAAAAAAAGACCCAAGCAGAGATTGGGTTGCTGCCTCTGCAAGCTAAGGAATGCCAAAGGTCCTCACCAAAAGCTAGGAGAGGAGTGTGGATCAGGTGCCTCCACAGAAGGAACTAACCCTGCCAACACCACAATTTCAGATTTCTGGCCTCTAGAATATGAGAATTTCTGATGCTTGAAGTCTCTTGGTTTGGGGTACTTTGTTACAGCCATTCTAGGAAAGTAATGCACCAACCTTCAATCTCAATATACACAGGGGAAGAGTCTCAAGAAATGGCTGTAGCATCAACAACTTCACGCTTGAAAAACAAGTACACACAATTTTAGGCAATGCTCACAGATTCCTCTAAGCGGTTGTCAACAGGGGGTGATTTTGCATCCTGACCCCCAGGAGACATTTGGCATGTCTGCAAGATATTTTTGGTTGTCATTGTTGGGTAGAGATGGGAAGGGGGATACATCTGGCTTCTAGCGGTTAGAGCTCAGAGATACTCCTCAACATGCCATAGTAACAGGGCATCCCCCTCCTTAACTTGCCCAACAAGAAAGAATTATTAGCACCTCACTCAAATGCCAAGAGTGCTGCTGTTGACAAAGCCTGCTTAAGCTCAGAAAATTCGGGGAATTCCGAACGGTACGAAAGGGAAATCATGTGGAGTCAGGAAGTCCTGCATCTCTTTCTTCCTTAATTTGATAACCCTGATCCTGCTCCTTAGCCCCTCTGTGTCTGTTTTCTCAAAAATTGTAGGCTGGTGATAATCATATCCCAGGGATCCTCTGAAGGTTAAGAGAAAACACTGAGATGTGTTTATTGCAAAGTGTCTGGCGAAATACTGACCAAATACCACCTAACTGCAGACAGTTATAAAAACTTTTGCAGCCTTGGCACAATTAGAAAGCTCTCTGTGCAGACCAGGCGGGATGAAGGGGTGAGGCCTGAGAGAAGGGAGCTGAGCCTCATGCCTCCTAGGCCACTGTCATTCCAGTTTTGGTGCACATCTGGTGGGTTCCCCTCCAGCCACACTACAACTGCACCCACCCCCCACACAGCGCAGTACAGTCGGTACTCTGCTCAGATGCCTTCAGCCAAGGACTCTCCTATCCCCTTGCCGTGAGACCCAAGCCCAGGACCGCTTGGGGAGCTGGACTTGAAGTCCCAACTCAGGAGCAGCCACTTCCTTGAACCCCCATAACCCCTCCTCCTCCACCAAGCTGGAGACCTTCCCCCTCAACCCCAGGGAGCGTCACCCCACGGAAATGACTCTGTCTGAGTCCCCTTGCATGGAACTGACAGGCCACAGGAACCTGCAGCCTCACAAGTCAGGACACTGGTCCCACCCCCTCGTGGGTCTGGGGGTGGCGGGGAGGGAGCCAGGGGCTTCGGGGAGGCTGGTCGTGGTTCTTGACCTGAAGATGGTCACAAGGGTATACTGGGTCTGGTTGGAGTGCAGAAACCTAATAAGTTCGTCCCGATCGGCCATAGAAAACCAGAGCCGTCTTCCAACTCACTACAGCCCTGGCCCAGGCCATCTACCCACTCCTTTCCCCATTTGCTGTTTGTGCCTCCTTTCTCCCCCGCATGCGCGAACCCGGAGGGGAGGGGCGATGCGGAAGGGGCGGGGCCGGATCGCGTCCGCGAACGGAAGAGCGAGACCTCGAGGCCCTTCCGGTCCGTGACGTGACTACAGCCCCCACAATGCCTTGCGGTCCCGCGAGGGACCCGTCTCGTCGCGAGAAGCGGCGGCTGAGGGCGTCTGCGCGGACAAACGGAAGTGTAGGTGACGGTCCGAGACGTCGCCGCCAAGCTGGGAACCGGGGAGATGGCTGAAACTGACCCCAAGACCGTGCAGAATCTGGCCTCTGTGGTAAGAGACGGCGGCACATGCCCGAGGCAGTGGCATCCCTGGGAGGCGCCGGCCGGGCCCTGCCCGACCCAGGCGCGCCCAAGGCGCGGCGCACGGCGTCTCCAGAGGGCCCGTGTCGGGAGGCTCGGTCCCGCGGAGCTTCCGGCCGCTCTGTGTCGGCCCTGGTGCCCGCCGACTCCCCCAAGCCGACCCCCTTCGCTCGCCCCTCTCACCTGCCGGTGAAGCCCCCGGCGGACCCCGAGCCCCGCCAGCTTCCCGTCCCGCACTGTCAGCCCTCCCGCCACCCCACCCTTGAGCTCCCCACTCAGACCCAGGTGCTCCTGAGCCCCCAGCACAACTCGCAGACCCCGAGCATTAAATAGCAGCGACCCAGTCTGGAAGGGGCCTCTCGAGTCCATCCTTCTGATTTGCTAGGTGGGAAAACTGAAACCCGGAAAGGAAATTCCTTGCTGAACACCGCGCAGCTGCGTAGAGTGAAGTGGGGCTGGAACCCGGGACCCTAGGCTTCCCCTGGCCGGCGTCGGGGCTCCCGTCTCAATCCCAGGAAGGTGTCTCAAGATCACTGTGGATTTTGTTTTGGTTTTTCTTAGGTGCAGACCCTCCTGCAGCAGATGCAAGATAAATTTCAGACCATGTCTGACCAGATCATTGGAAGAAATATCCTTTTTATTTGAAGTTGGCCTTTAATGGGCCCTGGGATCCTCTTTGCCAGGTAGTGATGGGGATAAACGGATGGTTTGCAGGCCAGTCGCTTACTGAGCTTAAATGTGGGGTGTTCCTGAGGACTGTCTTAGCGGCCAGGGATAAGTCAGATCCCTGGTTCGGTGAACATACAGTCCACCAATGGTAATGGCTAGTATGGTTCACTTTAGGCTGGGAACAGAGCACTTCCTGTGTGTCTCATGTTTGAGGTTTTATAAAAAAGGGTAACACTAAAAACATATTCATAAGATCATGACCTTATGAATATGTTCTAGTGTTACCATCTTTATACAGCGGAAGAAGAAACTGAGTTTAGAAAACTGAAAGACCTTAGCAGGTTTCCATCTGGTCCCGGTCAGGGCTGGAATTTATTCGGGCAGCCTTGCCCCAGACTCCTTTAGTCTCACAGGGTATAACAATATCCACAGGAAATTGGAAGACCCATTTCCTCAAGACAGTTGTGTTTAAGGCCATCATATATATAGAGCCCCGAAGGAAAAGGGTAAGAAATGAGATGTTGGTGTTAGCGGTCTTTAACTTCACCACTTGATGATATGAGTAGTCGCATTGATGATCTGGAGAAAAACATCGCAGACCTCATGACACAGGCTGGAGTGGAAGAACTGGAAGGTGAAAGCAAGATACCTGCCACACAAAAGAGTTGAAGGTGAGGGAAGAACAATAATAATGTATTAAAAAAATACATAACAACAACAGAAAAGGGCACCTATAGTTCAGTGGTAGAGCTCTGGCCCCGTGCACCAGGGGTGGTGGGTTTGAACCCAGCCTGGGTCTGCTTAACAACAATAAAAATACAATGAGATAACTTGTTAGTACAATTTTGATGCATTCTCCCTTTGTCTAGGTCAGTTCCCAGCCATGATCCCCGCAAGCATCCCTTTTGTTTGGAAGACTCTGTATTTTGAAATCATTCATGCACAATCTAATTTTTCACATAGAATTTATTTTACCAATTTTTATTTAAACCTCTGTCACTGTTAAGACCCTTGGCAGTTTATATCATTCCAGCCAATGGCAAATGTGTGTCATTGGCCTGAAAAACCTAGAGGATTTTTCATTGGGTTTTGAGGGGTTTTTTGTTTGTTTGTTTTAGAAATACTAGATAATCAAACCACCCACATTACCACCTTCTTAAATGCCTTAAATTCTAGGGACTTGCTTGGGAATTTATAACATAGATAAACTAGATTGTGGCTATATTAAGCTTTTAATCTGAAGTTGATTTAAATGTCCACTGAATAGTTTCAGGTATCAGGAAATAATTAAATAACTTATATAGCAAGATAGATGCACAGTTATCACTCAACACAGTGAGTTTCTTCCTTGTCAGCCTTTTCCTATAGTGCATGCTTTGTGGTTACCTCGTTACAACCCCAAGATAATTTTTAAACTCACTTTTCTTGCATCTCATCTGTAGCATTGTAATACTCTACAAATAAGGTTTATTGAGGATCATTTGGTTACTAGAGCTCCAAACAGAATGCGTAGTAAAAGATGACCTAATTTCTTATTTTCTGGGCATGTTCTGAACCAAATTTTACATAACTGTGAAATAGAGGTCTGGGAAGTTAAAGACTCTTAAATCTGTGTCTTAACAATAGGCTAGATTGATTCACCATAAGTAAATCATATCATGAGTTTGTTATGGGTTATGTGATCTTTATACGTAAGAGATGATTTGAAAAATGTCTTGCCAGCCTTAGAAGCTTCCCTGGGTCTCTGATACTATGTGGCAATCAAAAATTCTGTCAGTGGGAGGAGAGCATCTTTGCAAGAATTGGGCTGATTAAAGACTGTCCAGTAACAGAGATAATACAAAGAAAGAATGAGTAGGAAACGGATTCAGAAGTTTTTATAATGAATACTGTGTTTATAATTAAATCTATTGTGTTTTTGCTAGAATACTGAGTAACAAAAATGAGTTTAATTCAATGGAGGATTCTAAAAGGATTTTTAATTGATAGTTGTGTCATTTTTATTTGTCCTCATATAATGAAAAGACATTTTATGATTTTTCCTTCTTCAACAGGTTACTAATTTACACTGAAATCTGGAACACCTTTTTTCCAAGCCAAGAGAAGATTGAATGGCTTTTTGCAACTAACTACTATGTGTAGACAGGTTTTATATTATAAAATGTGTGTTCTTATCACATCTTATATGGTTAGTTTTTAGAGTGATGTACCCCCTAGTTGCTTGAACATGGTATCTTCATATCTTGGACCTTGGTCAGTTGTGCTATTAATTATTAAACACTAAAACTTTGGCAGTTCCTGCAAAAAAAAAAATTGTCAAATTTTTTAGTGTATTTTTGTGAAGTCATTTTTTTTCCTGCCACTCCTTTTGTAGTAATTGCTCTTTGGTAAAAGTTGCTGTGTAATTTTTTTATTAAACAGTAAATCCTTCAGTCATAGTTAGCCCTGGTAAAGTGAGATATTTGTAGAATTTAGGGTTCTTTGATTCTCAGCACAAAGTGACCACAGCTAACACAAGACAGTGTGTTGGCAATACTTTTCAAATAGCTAAAAACATTTAAAAAATATCTGTCACTGCTTTGTGCCAAAACTCAGAATTAATTTCCTGAGGTCAGATGCTAAAGTCAATGAAAAGTAATGACCGCCACTTTCCTGTGTTAGAACTTAGTTAAAATACAGAATATAACAGAATAGCCTGATGTCATGAGGTGTTCATTTGTTAGAGTTTTGCATGAGATTCTGATACTTCAGTGGAACCCTGCATTATTCATCTATAATGGTTATAAAAAATCTGGCAGGATTTTAAAACTATTACTCCATCTTTTCTTTGAGTGAAAAAGAGGAAAAAAGCTAAAGAGACATGTTAAGTCTGTACCAGTGCTTGGCTAAAATATGATGAACGGCTGATGAAGAGGCTCAGGTTTTTAAGAAGTACTCTTTGACAAACTGTTTCTTACTGAAATTCTTGCAGAGTCACAATTTCCTTATTGATCATCGAAGGCAGGGATAATGACTCTTGCCACTCAAAAACGCGGTGTCCAGTATGCCAAGCCTAGAGGTCAATATTGACGACCTAGAAGAGGATCCATGTGATTGTCACCACAGAGTGATTTGATACAACAAAAACTAGAAAAATTGTAAAGTTGAGAAATGGTATGGTCCTTGATAGAGGGAAACTCTTGATGAAAATAGTAGATTTTTTTCTAAGTTTCCCATATGGCCAGTCTTGATTATATTGCGAATATATGATAATATTAGGAAATAATTTGCTCTATTTATAAGTTATATGAGAAACAAAAAAGACTGAGGTGTTTTTATAATAAAATGAATTCACTGCTATTACTACCCAAACCTCCTTTGATGGGTCCAGTCCTTATGCTGCAGGGTTTAGCTCCTAAATGTCCCCCTGAAGCTGACTGTGACCAGACCACCTGAAACCTGAGGGCGGGATGTATTGAGAGCCTCAGAAATGGCAAATGGAAATGATGTTGCTGGTTGTCGTGGTAGGAGAGTCAGGGCATGAGCAGGAGTTGGCTTCCTGATATAACATTTCAGAGGCAGCCCCCCCCCCAATCAAAAATACCTGCTGTGAATAAAGGTGCCTGAAATCCTGCTACTGAAGCTTTTGTGTCAAAGATTTTTTGACTTTCCAGGTTTTCACATTAAAATGCACACAACCCATTAGGGTATCAACTGAAGCCTCTGGAGGCTTAAATACGAGTAGCCAAAGGCAAATAGGAAAGGGGGAGCTGGGGGAGCGGGAGGTTCTGTGCTGCAAGGGGCAGCTGAGAAGCACCAAGCCTTGGGACAGACACGCAATAAAGACGTTTGTTCCTGGAGAAGCTCCAGGAAGGAAAGGTTTATGGCTGTTTAGACTCAGTTCACAGGTGGGTATGGTGTAAGACTGAAAGTCCAGAGCAGGGAAGTCAGATTGAACGTCACCTGCACGTTTCCAGGCTATTTGACCAAGGATCTTTATACTTAATGCCTAATTGACACTTAAACTAGTGGGGTAATAGAAACCTTGAGAGACCACTTAAACCCCACAGCTTCAGGTTCCATTGTAAATGTGTAGTGTCAGGTACCCAGCCAACCCCCTCTTCAGGTTCACAAGCAAAGCCTTAAACCTTGTATAAAATAGACTTTATAGCCCTGGTGAGGCCTTCACATTTTGAGAAAAGGTGGTTTCAAACTGCATCTGTATGGATGACAGTACCCTGAGCACACAGATGACCAGACACCCCACGGCCACCACCTCTGAGCCAGTCTCTGCCTTTCTGGCACAACCTGGGCTATACAAACAGCTGTTTTCCCCATCCTAGCATGACCTGCAGCCTCTGCTCAAGGAAACTTCCTGGCAGCTGTCCCCACACTGCCCCTTCTTTCTTGTGACACTGGGCCCATCCACTGCCTATGGTGAATATATCTTGCTCTGTAAGCCTATCTTTCCCTTTCTCAGTAAACTTTTTTCATGCTTGCCTTACTTGGGGGTGTCTGGTCATCTTTGGACTAAGAGCATTCCAAGAACCAAAAGGACCCAGGAAGTTGCCTGCAACCCGTACAGCTGCCTTGAAACTCAACTTTCAGACACATTCAAATTCCAAAAAACTTTTACCACTTAATCTCTCTTCCCCAACCATTCATCCTCCCTAGCTATCCTTTCCTGTCCCTGAGCAAAGTTCCTCCCATAAGCCATTTTACCAGAAAGGCAAGCATCTACCCCTTGGGGAGCTGGATAATCTTTCTGAGGGTCCCATATGTACTCGTTAAAGAAATGTATGTCTTTTCCCTCCTTGTTAATCTGCCTTGCAAGAGCCTTAGCTGGCTGCACTAGTAAAGTACTGCCATCGTTGGACCTCCTGGATACGGCAGTTCAGGTAATTAATTTGCCTTTGTGAGTCCTTGGAATCTGTTGCTATGGGAACATAGAGTCGTCCAAACAAATTAACTTTTTTAACCGCCCGCTTGTAAGCTGAAGCCTTTGTAAATACATATTATGTTCTTTTATTTTTCTGGAGATTATATGTTTCAGTAGGTTAAAAATGGAGGAATTTGCACTGTGTGTTGTCATTTCCAACCCTGAAAATTAACTGGCAACACTTAACAATTACTTATTCTCTGGCATCTATTGAAACCTGTGAACTAAAATCAAACCTTCAGCCCCCATCTGGCTGACTGGGCTCTCTCTTGGCCAAGGGGGCCTCAAAAGAACCTTGAAGCTGAGTTCCTGGCCATGGGGAGAAGGGAGATGAGACATGTCTGTCCTGCCCCTTCCTTTTTGGGGTTCTTCTTTGTAACAAGATGCTAAGTCATTAGCAGGCCTAGGACCTTGCAAAACAAAGCTTCCACCACACCTGCAGACCATCAGTTTATTTAACATAGTCCTTGAATTTCCGTAAATATTCCAGTGTCTGATTGATAATACCAAGCCTAAAGGTGATCTAACAGACATTCTGAAGGTAAAACATTCCAAGGTTTTATAAAGCTTCATATTTTTTTAACCAATTACAAATCTAAGAATCTTTCAACCCACCTATAACTGTAACCACCCAGATGCCTTTTTCAGACTAAACCAATATGTGCCTTCAACGTACTGACTTAATCTTCCCTGTAGTTCCCATCTCCATGAATATACTTATAAAACCAAAGTGTAAAGTGTGCTCTGGCCCATCTGTCACATGTACTGTGCTCAGAATAAACCTATATGTTACAGAGTTGGGGTTTTCTCCCCACATTGACCAAGTGTTTGTTATTAACCACTGTGCCGTGCTAAGCATTCTGTTTGCACTATTTGGCTTAATCCTGACAACAACACTTAATCGGACTTTTATATGATCAGTCGTGTTTTATTTTATAGAGACAGGATCTCACTGTGTTGCCCAGATTGCAGCTCTGAGCTCAAGAGATCCTCCTGCCTCAGGCTCTGGAGTAGTTGGGACTACATGTGCCAACCACCATGTTCAGATAATTTTCTTATTTTTTATAGAGACAAGGTCTCGCTCTGTTGCCCAAGCTAGGCTCAAACTACTGGCCTCAACAGACCTCCCAAAGTGCTGGGATTAAGGTGGGAGCCAAAATGCAGCTGAGTCCATTTTAAAGAGAAGGAACCCAAGGCTAGGCACCAGTCTCCTGACTGCACACACCTGGTAAATTGTACCCCTGGCATCTGCCCGCAGCCCTGCAGCAGGAAGCGTCCTCCACAGCTGTGCCCTTTCTGCTGCTTCCTACAACTAAGAGTTCTGCTTTTCTGCCAAGACTACCTGGGAGTCATCAACCCCACTATTGTGGTGGATCATCAAATTTAGTTTCAAAAGGCAGATTTTGAGTGGCGGTGTGGCTCAAAGTAGTAGGGTGCTGGCCCCATATGCTGGAGGTGGCAGATTCAAACCCAGCCCCAGCCAAAAACTGCAAAGAAAAAAGTCAAAAGGCTGATTTTGCAGCTCTGCGCCTGTAGCTCAGCAGTCAGGGCGCAACCACATACACCAGAGCTGGCAGTTTTGAATCCAGCCCAGGCCAGCAAAATAACACTGACAACTACAACAAAAAAATAGCCAGGTGTTGTGGTGGACGACTGTAATCCCAGCTACTTGGGAGACTGAGGCAAGAGAATCATTTAAGCCCATGAGTTGGTTGCTGTGAGCTGTGACACCACTGGCACACTACCAAGGGTAACAAGTAAGACGCTGTCTT